ATATTGCTATTTTTTTATTACTGTGTTGAGTGAGGGTTAAAGAGTGGATTTTTGTATTGCTGTATTACTATTTTAATATTGATGTGAGTGATGGGAAAGGAGTGGGTTCTTGTATTACTGTATTATTATTTTATTACTGAGGTCAGTGAGGGTAAAAGAGCAAAATGTTGTATAACTTCATTGTTATTATTTTATTACTGATGTGAGTGAGAGGAAAAGAATGCATTATTGTATTATTGTATTGTTCTTATTTTATTACTGAAGTGAATGAGGGGAAAAGAATGGATTGTTGTGTAACTGTATTGATATTATTTCATTACTGAGTTGAGTGAGGGGAAAATATTGGATTGTTGTATTACTATATTATTATTTTATTACTGAGGTGAATGAGGGGAAAAGAGTGAATTATTGTATTACTATATTGTTATTATATTATAACTGAGGTGAGTGACTGGAAAAAAGCGGATTGTTGTATTACTGTATTATTACTGAGGTGAGTGAGCGGAAAAGAGTGTATTGTTGTATTACTCTATTATTATTTTATTACTGAGGTGAGTGTGGGGAAAAAGCAGATTGTTGTATTACTGTACTATTATTTTATTGTTGATGTGTGTCGGGAAAAGAGTGGATTATTGTATTACTCTATTTTTCTTGTTTTATTACTGAGGTTAGTGAGGGGAAAAAGTGAATTTGGTGTGCTACTCTATTGTTATATTTTTAGTACTAAATTCACTTAGGTGATTAGAGTGGATTACTGTATTACTCATTTGTTATTATTTTATTACAGAGGTGAGTGAGGGGAAAACAGTGGATTTTTGTATTACTATATTGATACTATTTTATTACTGATTTGATTGATGGGAAAAGAGCGGATTTTTGCATTACTGTATTATTGTTTTATTACTGAGGTGCGTGAGGGGAAAATAGCGGATTGTTGTATTACTGTATTATTATTTTATTACTGATGTGGTTCAGCGAAAAAGAGCAGATTATTGTATTACTCTATTGTTATAATTTTATTACTGAGGTGACTGAGGAGAAAAGAGTGGATTATTGTATTACTGTATTATTATTTTATTACTGAGGTGAGTGATTGGAGAAGAAAGATTTGTTGTGTTACTGTATTGTGATTATTTTATTACTGACGTGAGTGGTGGAGAAAGAGCTGATTATTGTGTTACTGCATTGTAATTATCTTATTACTGAGTTGAGCGAAGGGAAAAGAGTGGATTGTTGTATCACTGTATTGTTACTATTTTGTTACTGAGGTATGTGAGGAGAAAAGACCGGATTATTGTATTACTGCTGTGTTTTTATTTTATTACTGAAGTGAGTAATGGGAAAAGAGTGGATTATTTTATTACTGTATTGTTATTATTTTATCACTGAGTTGATTTAAGGGAAAAGCATGGATTTTAGTATTACTATTGTATTGTTATTCTGTTACTGAGGTGAGTCAGAGGAAAAAGAGTGGATTGTTCCTTTACTGTATTATTTTTTTGTTACTGTGGTGAGTAAGGGGAAAAGTGTTGATTGTTGTATTACTGTATTGCTATATCAAATGCAAGGATTATTATTATTATTGTTGTTATTGTTTTATTAGTGAGGTAAGTGAGGGGAAAAGAGTGGACTGTTGTATTACTTTAGTGTTATTATTTTATTACTGAGCTGAGTGAGGGGAAAAGAGTGGATTGTTGTATTACTACGTTGTTATTATTTTATTACTCAGGTTAGTCTGGTGAAAAGAGCAAATTATTGTATTACTGTATTGTTATTATTTTATTACTGAGGTGTGTGGGAGGAAAAGAGCAAATTGTTGTATTATTGCATTGTTATTAATTTATTACTGAGGTGAGTGAGGGGAAAAGAGTGGATTATTGTATTACTGTATTTTTATTATTTTATTACTGAGGTGAGTGAGAGGAAAACAGCAGGATATTGTATTACTGTATTGTTATTATTTTATTACTGAGGTTACTGTGTGGAAAAGAGCGGATTGTTGTATTATTCTTTTGTTATTATTTTATTGCTGATTTCAGTGAGGGGAAAAGAGCGTATTGTTGTATTACTGTATTGTTAAGTTGAGTGAGAGGAAAAGATTGGTTTGTATTACTGTATTGTTATTATTTTATTACTGAGGTGAGTGAGGGGACAACAGCGGATTATTGTATTACTGTATTAATATTTTATTACTGAGGTGCTTGGGAGACATGGTTATTCTATTATTACTCTATTAGTATTATTCTATTACTGAGGTGAAAGAGAGACATGATTATTGCATTATTACTGTATTATTATTCTATTGGTGAAGTGAGACAGAGAACGTATTATTGCAATATTACTGTATTATTGTGCTATTGCTTAGGTGATAGGGGGAGACAGTATTATTGTATTTTAACTGATTTATTATCGTATTACTGGGGTGTGAGAAAGGGAGACAGGATTATTGTATTATTTCTGTATTAATGTTCTATTACTGAGGTGAGAGAGTGAGACAGGATAATTGTATTATTACTGTATTATTATTGTTTTATAACTGAGGTGTGTGAGGGGAAAAGAGTGGATTATTGTATAACTGTATTGTTATTATTTTATTGCTGAAGTGAGTGAGTGGAAAAGAGCGGTTTGTTGTATTATTACTGTATTATCATTATTCTATCACTGAGGTAAGAGTGAGACAGAGAGATAGGATTATTGTGTTATTACTGTATCATTATTCTATTACTGAGGTTGAGAGAGAGAGACATGTTTATTGTATTATTACTGTATTATTCTATTACTGAGGTGGTAGAGAGAGATACTAGTTGTATTATTATTATTACAGTATTATTTTATTACTGAGATGAGAGAGAGAGGGAAAGAAAGACAGGATTATTGTATTATTCCTGTATTATTATTATTTTATTAATGAGCTCAGAGAGAGTCAGGATTATTTTTATTACTGTATAATTACTCTATTACTGAGGTCAGAGAGAGACAGGATTGTTGTTTTCATTATTGTAGTATTATTCAATTACTGAGGTGAGAGGGAGAGGATCATGATAATGTTAGTGTATTATTCTGTTACTGAGCTGAGAGAGACAGGATTATTGTTTTATTACTGCATTATTACTATTCTGTTACTGAGCTGAGTGAGATAGACTGGAATATTGTATTATTACAGTTTTATTACTGAGGTGAGAGAGAGAGACAGGATTATTATATTATTACTGCATTATTATTCTATTACTGAGGTGAGAGATAAAGAGAGACATGATTATTGTAATTTTACTGTATTATTATTTTATGACTGAACTGAGTGAGAGAGACAGGATTATTGTATTATTACTCTTCTTATTGTTTTATTGCTGAGGTGATTAGGAGAGACACTATATTAATACTATATTATTATTTTATTACTGAGGTGAGCGCTCGAGAGATAGGATTATTGTATTGTTACTCTAATATTGTTTTATTGCTCAGGTGTATTTTTTTAATTTTATTACTGAGGTGAGATAGAGACAGGATTATTATCTTATTACTATAGTAACTATAGTATTATTATTATTCTATTACTGAGGTGAGTGCGAGAGACAGGATTATTGTATTAATATTATTATTTTATTGCTGAGATGTGTGTGAGAGAGAGACATGATTATTGTATCATTACTGTATTATTGTTTAATTACGAAGAGAGAGAGAGAGACAGGATTATTGCTTTATTACTTTATTATTTTACTACTGAAGTGAGTGAGAGAGACTGGATTATTATATTATCACTGGATTATTATTCTATTGCTGATGTGTGTGAGAGATAGGATCATGATATTGTTAGTGTATTATTCTATTACTGAGGTGAGTGTGAGAGAGAGAATTATTATATTATTACATTATTATTCTATTACTGAGGTACGTGAGAAGGGGAGAATTACTATATTATAACTGGATTATTATGATTATTCTATTACTGAATTGAGAGAGAGACAGGATTATTACATTATTACTGTACTATTATTTTTCTATTACTGAGTTGAGAGAGAGGGAGGTTTATTATATTATTATTGTTTTATTATTCTATTACTGAGGTGAGTGAGAGAGCCTGGATTATTATATTTAATTACTGTATTATTGTTTTATTACTGAGGTGAGTGAGATGATTATTATATTATTTTATTATTTTATTATTGGGGTGAGTGATAGAGACATGATTATTATATTATTGCTCTTTAATATTATTATTATATTACTGAGGTGATTGAGGGAGAGGCAGGTTTATTATATTCTAACTATATTATTATTACTCTATCATTGAGATGGGTGAGAGGGACTGGATTGTTATATTATTACTGTATTATTATGGTACTGAGGTGAGTAAGAGAGACAGGATTTTTATATTATTATGGTCTTATTCTATTACTGAGGTGTGTGAGGGCGAGAGAATTATTATATTATTACCATATTATTCTATTATTGAGGTGAGTGAGAGAGACAGGATTATTATATTATTACCGTAGTATTTTTATATTACTGCGATGAGTGAGAGAGACAGGGTTATTATATTATTACTGTATTATTATTATTCCATTACAGAGGTGAATGAGAGAATCAAGATTGTTATATTTTTATTGTATTATTAGTAGTATTATTCTATTACTGAGTTTCCTTACTCCACACAGAGCCTAATAATAATCCCTCCAAAACCCAAAACAATAATAAATTGGTCATTTTCAATCTACGACTGTTTGTGGGACATTGCTGTGCGCAATTGGCTGCCGCGTTCACCCACAAATATACAGTCAATTCACTTTACAGTGTGTTCTGTGAAGCGCTTTGGGACGTCCTCCCGACGTGAAAAGCGCTATATCAAATGCAAGGATTATTATTATTGTTGTTTCCTGGAGTTTGGTCGGTATGTGGTAACGCTTTACTGCATATCCGTGAAGCGCTTTGTGACATCTCAAATACATGATAAGGAGCAGTATCAAATGCATGGATTATTATTATTATTTTCTCCTCCTCAGCAACAATCCCCCACCGACTGAATCTTTTCTACGTCGCCAATGATGTAATCCAGAACTGCAAGCGTAAGAACGCCATCATTTTCCGCGATGCTTTCTCGGAGGTTCTGCTTGAGGCGGGCGCCCTAGTTAGGTAAGAGTTAAGTTGGGAAGAGAGTGGGGGTGAGAGAGAGGTCTAGCGCTAGGCTACCTGGGGCACTTTATACCATTTGCTGGCTGACTCACCGACTTTCTGGCTTTCTTTTCTGGTTTTCCCTCAGGGATCTGAGTATTCGGAAGTCTGTGGAGAGGATATTTACAATTTGGGAACAGAGGAGTGTGTACCCACAGGAGCTGATAGTGGAGCTGCGAGACACACTGGGTGAGACAGCCGTAGACACTGCAGTCCAACTTGGACAAGCAGTGCAAAGTGCAAGGTAGTGCCTCCATGGCATATGACCTTCCTTGGAGGGAAGAGATGTTAGTGGGATTGGCTGATTGGGCAATGAATATTAGAATTGAGTTCACCCTGAGTGGGTTTATCTATATATTTGTCTTTCTCTCTGAATGTGTATGTCTTGCGTCTCTATTTCTCAGTAGCCCAGTTCTTGCAGTAACCTTTGACACTGCTGATGACAGCTCAGATTGGTTCATCAACTGGCTACATTGAAGTGGGAGACTGGGTAACTGGGAAGAAGGGAAATTCTTTTAAATTAGCTATTGTTAAACCAACAACCTTACTGGATTGGGGGAAGGGAGTCTTAATGATGGGAAACTTGCCAAACAAACAATGTGGCCTACCTATTTAAACTCCACAATTCACACTCGAGAGGGGGTAGGGTGGAGCGGTGTGGCAGACAGAGAAAGAAACTAAGCTTCAGTTCTTATGGACCTGGGTCTCTGGCCAACTGCCACCTAACACTTTTGGGGATACAATCCAAAACAAAATGACATTTATACAGCACTTTTCAAGTCGTGAGGACATCCCAAGGTCCTGGACAATCAGAGATTTAGACCTGAGCTGAGGGTTGGGATTAGGAGTGGTGGAGGGCAGGTAGGGGTGGGGTTAGGAAGGGTGACCAAAGACACAGTTGAACCGGAGGGTCCTGAGATGTGTATGAAGGAGGTGAGGAAGGGCTTAGGCGGTGGGATTGTGGGATGGAGTTCCAGAGGGTGGGGGCAGGGAGGCTGAAGGCCTGACCGCCAATAGTGGGCGGTATGTCCCTAGCGAGGGACATGAAGCAAGCTGGAACCCGCTAAAGGGAGGCATTGGACAGGTTGATATGGGGTAGCAGGTCAAATTGGTAGGGGGAGCAAGGCCATGAAAGTGAGTATGAGGATTTTGAACTCTATCCTCTGAGGGATGAGGAGAGAATGGGGTTGGGTGAGCGTGGGGGTGATGGGGTCTGGTTTAGTAGAGGACACAAGCTCTGGATGATCTGCAGCATCTGGAGGGAGGAGTTGGGGAGGCCAACAAGCAGGGAGTTAGGGTAGTCGAGCCTAGATGGAATGAATGCATGGATAAGCATTTGGCATGCTGAGGTGAGAGACAGTTGCGGAGATGGAGGAAGGCAGAGCGGGTCATGGCACAGAAAGGATAGTTGAGGGTCATGCAAGACCCCAAGGTTCTGGACTGGCTTAGCAAGGTGGAGGGTGGAACCATGGATGATGATGCTGTCAACGCCTGGAGTGAGGATGTGCTGACAGGAACAAATCAAGAGCTTTGGTCTTGTTGACGTTCAACTGAAGAAAGTTAGCACTCATCCAGAACTTGATGTCCTGCTATTCTGTGAGGACAGCAGTGGTCCTGGAGTTGAAGATGGAGGCAGAGAAGTAGTTGGGAGCATCCGCAAACATGTGAAAGTTGACCCCGCAATTGTGGATAATGTTACGGGAGCATGTAGATACTGAAGAGGAGCGAAGCAAGGTCAGAGCTCTAAGGAACACTGCAAGAGACGGTGTGGGGCTAGAGGAGAAGCCGTTTGTGGAGACAATGTGGAAACTGTATGATCTAAACCAGTCAAAGAAAGAACTATGATGTTTGAGGTGAGAGGAGAGGCGGTGGATGAGGATAGAGTGGTCAATAGTAACGAAGATAGCAGAAAGGTCAAAGAGGATGACGAGGCAAAGGGAGCCCTGGTTGTAGATGGATAGAATGTCATTTGGGACTTTGACTGGGGCTATTTCTGTGGTGAGGGTGGCACAGAAACTCGATTGGATGGGTTTATGAAGGGGGTGGGGGTGGAGAGGAAAGAGTGAATCTAAATAGCAACGACTCATTCCAAGACTTTGGAGAGGAAAGTGAGGTTGGAGATGTGACTGTAATTTAAGAACAGAGATGGGTCCAGAGAAGGTTTTTTGTGAATGGGTGTGATGTCGGCTGTTTCTAAACAGGTGGCAATGATGCCATTGTAAAGAGAAAGGTTGATGAGGTCGTTAGTAGGAGTGGGGGCAAGTAGGTGGAGCTGGGAGGTAAGGAATGGGGTGGGATGGGGTCGAGGGAGCAAGCAGTCGGTTTCATATGGGTTATGTGCTGGTGAGAGGGGAAAGCGAGACAGGTTCAAAGCTGGGAAAGGCGCTAAACAAATGTAATCTTGTTGTTGTTATTGTGGAAGGAGGAATGGGTAGAGAGAGGCCTGTGTGTGAGGGTATGAGTAATAGAGAATAGCAGTTGAAAGGGCAGAAGTAGCCGAGCGAACCCCACTTGATATTGGTCTTGATGAAGTCATTGGAGTTGGAAGAAAGGATGGGTAAAACATGAGAGGGTGGGCAGAAGAGGCAGTTGTTGATGGAGAAAAGCAGCCTGGGTTGTCCTTGTCCTCCAAGATTATCTTGGATTAGAAGAACAATTTAGCGAAAGTGAGGGTGGACCAGTAACTTTTGATGTGGTCCAGCAGAACTGCTGATGGACCATTAGGTATGATTTGAGCCAGGTGCATTGAGAAAGCAGAGGTAGCTGGTGTACAATAATCCCTTCAAAACAAAACAATAATAAATTGGTCATTTTCAATCCACGACTGTTTGTGGGATGGACATTCATTGCTGTGCGCAATTGGCTGCTGCGTTTCACCCACAAATACACTGCCAATTCACTTTATATATTCTGTGAAGCGCTTTGAGACATCTACTAGATGTGAAAAGCTTAATATGATATGCAAGGATTATTATTATTATAATCAGGGTGAATTGAGTGAGTAGGAGGTGGTTTGGGAGGTGAAAGGGCAAGGACATTGAGAGTGTTGGAGAGGAAGTTATGGAGGAAATTGACTGAGGAAGATAGGTCATTGCATGAGGAAGCCCAGACAGGGATGAGTTCAGTCAACAACTTGCACTTACATAGCGCCCGCCACGCAGGGTAGTGATTCAGAGCGCTTAACAGTGGCAAAGGCAGATTCCAAGCCAAGGTGGTGGGGGAGGGGGGCATAAGCAAGTCGAAGAGGAAGGTTTTCAGGTGGGGCCTGAAAAGGGGGAGAGGGGGCAAGGCAGAGGGATTGAGGGCGAGTTTTCCAGAGTTTCAGGGCATAGTGGCTGAAAGCGTGACCTCCAATGGTGGGGCGGAGGGTGCGAGGACAAGCAGGAGGCCAGTGACAGTCGAGCGGAGGTGCCGGGTGGTAGAATGGGGAGTGAGGAGGTTTGGAGAGATCGGGAGGTGCCAGAGAGTGAAGGGATTTGATCACGAGTGTGAGGATTTTGAAGTTGATCCGTTTGGTGATGGGGAGCCAGTGGAGCCTGGGCCAGAACTGGTGAGATGGGGGTACAGAATTTGGGCCGGATCAGTATATGTGTGGCAGAGTCTGAATGAGCTGGAAACTTATGAATAGTGGAGCTGGGCAGACCGACGAGGTGTGTGTTGGAGTAATTCAGGAGATAGGTGACCAGCGCATACAGATAGTGGGGGGTAGAGGAGATATCGCAGAGTGGGGAGAGGGGGCAGGGCACTCATTGTGTTACTTACTAGGTTTTCCAACCTGGATCAGATAAATTCGAGAGAATATGGGTCTGAAGCCCTGGCACTAGGTTGGGATAGAATTGGCTTGTTTCACATCTATATTTTCTCTCTCTCTGCTTTCAGTGGGAAAGAAGACCTTGGAATTTACTAAAGTCAAATCAGGTACACAGCACTCGCAAGTGTTAAGCAAGGATGAAATAATAGCATTCCTGACTGAGTCAGATGATTGTGGGCCTCCAGAGGGTGGGGGCAGAGCACTAAGTATTTACATAAGCAGTGAGTATTCACTAAAGCTCCAGTATGATGATGGGGGGAGGGCCAAATTGTTGAACGTCATTACCCCTCCCTACCCATCCGTCTGTCCATCTCTCCTCTCACCTTGACTAGTTCAGATCATACCTCTCACACCACCTCCACTTCATCTCCTCCAAACCCCGCATTGTCTTGTGTGGTATTCTTCAGTGCTCTGTCCTTGGTCCCCTCCTCTTCAATATTTATATGCTCCCTCTTGGTGATATCATCCCCAGAAATGGGGTCAACTTCCACATGTATGTGGATGGCACAACGAAACCTAAACCTTACCCCTTGACTCCAGGACGGATGACACTTGACTGTACCCATACCTTCCCCCTTGACTCCAGGACAGATGACACTCGACTACACCTATACCTTCCTCCTTGATTCCAGGGCCACTGCTGTCCTGACAGAATGTCTATCTGACATCAAGTCCTGGATGAGAGCTAACTTTCTTCAGTTGAACGCCAACAAGACCAGTCCACCCCATCATTGGCAGTTGGGCCTTCAGCCTCTTTGCCCCACCCTCTAGAACTCCAGAACTCCATCTCACAGATCCTCCAGTTCACCTTCTCCATCGCCTTCTTCAAGACCTGTCTCAAGACCCTCCTATTCAACCGCGCCTTCAGTCATCCTCCTACCCCTACCCTACCGGCTCTCCATCCTCCTAGTACCAACCTCCAGCTCAGGTCCAAATCCTTGACTGTCCAGTGCTTTGGGACGTCTTTCACTGTGTAAATGTCATGTTTTGTTGTTTTTACAGTGAGCAATAAAGCCAGAGGAGTTGTCAAATCCAAGATCCTTGCTGAATTCAGGGTAAGCACTGTAATAGCTTCATACACTGCAATCACCAATCCCCTGCCACCCTCCCCACCCGCCCACACCCCTCCCCCACCATCTCCCTGTAAACTGTAGCAGCGATAGCTGAATTGATACACACACAGATCTGAACACCATTTTGAGAGTATAAGTAAGTTTAATCAAAATAACTGGTTGCAACTGACATCACAAATATTGAAAAACTCATAAAGGATAGTGATCGGTTATCTATTTAACCTTCAGGGTTAAATGAACATTAGACTTTAAATTAAATAGATCACAAACAGTCCCATAGGAGGCAGGGTCAGCGGTCAAATTCAACTGGTCTCTCGAGTCTGTGACCAGGCTTCCTTCTCTCTCTTTCTCTCTCTCGGCTACACTGTCTTCCGCTGGTATAACAACAACAACTTGGGTTTATGTAGTGCCCTCCACGCCGGATGGCATCTCAGAACTTCACAGTAACGGATCCCGGGACCGAGCCAGGGGGAGGGGGAGGAGCCAGGGCGAGGGGGGGTGAGCCAGGTAAGGGGGAGGAAGGTGACCAAAGGCGCGGTCGAAAAGAAAGGTCTTCAGCAGGGACCTGAAAATAGGAAGAGAGGGGTCGAGGCAAAGGGAGTAAGGAAGGCAATTCCAGAACCACGGGACGTAGTGGCTGAAGCCACGACCATCAAGGGTGGAGAGGAAGACTCGGGACAAGGAGGAGGCCAGACCCGATGGAATGAAGGCAACGGGTGCTGTTAAAAATAATAATCCTTGCATTTGATATAGCGCTTTTCACGTCTTCTAGACATCCCAAAGCGCTTCACAGAATATACTGTAAAGTGAATTGACTGTATATTTGTGGGCGAACGCGGCGGCCAATTGCGCACTGCAATGAGTGTCTCACAAACAGTCATGGATTGAAGATGACCAATTTATTATTGGTTTTTGTTTTGGAGGGATTATTATTAGGCTCTGTGTGGAGTAAGGAAACTTGCCCAAGGTTTCGCCCTCTGCCTGGAATTGAACTCAGGTCTCTCACTTGCAAAGTGAGTGCTCTAACCACTGAGATACAGGACTCGGAGAGAGGAGGTCAGAGAGGTAGGGGGGTGCATAGGAGTGGAGGGATTTGAAGACAAGGGTAGGCCAGCGAGGAGGGCATTAGAGTAGTCCAGCTGAGAGGTGACAAAGGCATGGACCAGGGTTTCAGTGGCTTTTGGGGAGAGTTATTGGCGGAGATGGGCGATGCATTGGAGGTGGAAGAAGGCGGTGCTGGTGAGGGACCGGATGTGGGGGAGGAAGAATAATTGGGGGTCAAACCTGACGCCTAGGTTGCGTACGGGTTCGGAGAGTTTTAGGGGAGGTTGGGTAGGTGGAGGAGGTAAGAGCTGTGAGATTGTAGACGTTAACGAGAGCCAAAGAATATGGCTTCCGTCTTGTCAACGTTCAGCTGAAGGAAATTTGCACTCATCCAGCCCCTGAGATCTGTCAGGCAGCTGACAGAGCATCAGAGGACTTGGGGGTTGCAATGTGAGGTGGAAAAATAGAGTTGGGTGTTGTCCGCATACATGTGGAAGCGTACCCTGTGGATGACATCCCCAAGAGGGAGTCTGTAGATCAGAAAGAGAAGGGGACCAAGGATGGATCCTTGGGGTACCAGGTAACCGGGTGAGAGCGGGAGGAAAAGCCGTTTATGCAGATGTACTGCTGGCGGTTTGTGAGATAGGACTCCAACCAGGCGAGTGCGGTCCCACTGAGGTGGATGACGGAGGAAAGATGGTGCAGGAGGATGGCGCGATCGACTGTATCGAACACGGCGGAGAAGTCCAGGAGGACAAGAATGCAGAGAGCCCTGGTCATAGATAGAGAGGATGTTGTTTGTGACTTTCATAAGCGCAGTCTCTGTACTGTGGGCGGAAACCGGACTGGAGGGGTCCGACGAGGGAGTGGGAGGAGAGGTGTGCGCGGAGTTGATTGGCAACGTTCTAGGACCTTTGCAAGAAAGGGCAGGTTAGAAATGTGGCGATAGTGGCTGGGGTTTGAGGGACTGGGGAGGGTTTTTTCAGGAGGGGGATGATGATAGCAGTTTTGAGGGGGGCAGAGACTGATCCAGAGGAGAGGGACTGGTTGATGACATCTGCCAATAGTGGGCAGAGGAGGGGGAGAAAGGTGACCAGTAAGTTGGTGGGGAGGGGGTCGAGACAGCAGGTGGTGGGTTTCATTGAGGTGATGGTGGATGGGAGGGAGAGATGGGGAGGAAGGAATGTGGAGCCCTATAGCTCAGTGGTTAGAGCACTCGCTTTGCAAGTGAGACACCTGGATTCAATTCCAGGCAGAGGGCGAAACTTTGGGCAAGTTTCCTTACTCCACACAGAGCCTAATAAGAATCCCTCCAAAACAAAACAATAATAAATTGGTCATTTTCAATCCACAACTGTTTGTGGGACACTGCTGTGCGCAATTGGCTGCCGCGTTCGCCCACAAATATACAGTCAATTCACTTTACAGTGTGTTCTGTGAAGCGCTTTAGGACGTCCTCCCGACGTGAAAAGCGCTATATCAAATGCAAGGATTATTATTACTATTATATTATAATGTAGCATGTGGGTGGTGATAGGAGCTGATGATGGGGAGTGTGAGGGGGGCGGAGTGGGGTTGGTAGTGGGTGACGAGGTAGGTGGATGAAGCTGCCTGGCAGATGTTGTGAATTTTGGATGAAAAGAAGTCCATGACCTCCTCGCACTTGGCATTGGACGTGAAGATTGAGGAGGCCTGAGGGAGCTCACGGAGGAGGTAGTGGATGGTGGAAAAGAGGACTTTGGGATTGTTTTTTGCCTCCAAGATGATATTGGAGTAGAAGGCTGTTTTCATGTATGTCTGTGATATTCTGCCTGAGTCCATTTTTCTCCTGAAGTTTGCAGTCTGGAGTTCTCCAGCGATTAGCATCATCGACTAGAAGAGCTGCCTATTGCTGGTCTCAGAGGTTTAACTCGGAGTCCGTGTGGGTCTTCCTCCTTCAGCCCTCCTGCTTGTCCTCCGAGGAGTCGTTCTCAATCTTGAGTTTGTGTGGTTTCGGTCGGAGAGGTCAGCCCTTCGCAAGGGTGACAACAGATCCTCCTCCTCCTCTGTTCTCCCCCCAAGCTGAGACAACTTCAATCAGATTCTAAAAGTACTGACTTACAGTCACATCACCTTTTGACCATTCCCTTCCTTCAAATCTGCTCATGTTAACCTGCACATAGTGTTCATTGTATCGGTGCCCCTCAGTGATGAGTTCTCACTCATTCCTTTACCCTTCGTGATTCTTCTCCTGGCCCCTAATCTCCTCGTCCCAGTCTTGCTGTCGTTGCCTTGAAACTGCTTTCTGATATATTTCTTTGTTCTGAAAAATGTAATTTGGTTCTAACTTCTTTGATAGCTTTAAAACCAGTTTGTACCAGCCTGCTGACCTCTAGGTTCAATTTTACTCTTTACTTCAGCGGTTCTATAGGTCGTTCAATTGCCCATTTTCATTACTAAACAACAGTGAGTACATTACCCATAATGAAACGAATGAACGCTTATAATCATAATCATACATAATGACATAATCATCCATAACTAATCATTATTTACGCTTTCCTCCCCCCCACCCCCACCCCTTCCCTGGGCTTATGGGGGACATCCACAGACTGAGGGAGAAATACTACTCTGGACGCCAGGGATTCTTTGTTGCAGGGTGGTGGGAAGTGGAGAATGTGGAACACTGCCTTGGAAGAGGAATTAATTGTAGGGAGTGGGGAGCTAACTGTGAGAAGTAGCCGAATAGAGGCATTTGATTATGGGACGGGAAGGAGTATTTGGAGTGGAATAGATCGAGCAGTTCTGGCTGACTTCCCCATGACACTTTTTGAACAAAACTAAATTCAGAATTTACTAGTTACATTATTATCCTTCTTCATGACCTCCTTCCCTTCCTCTTCAGTCCCCTCTCACCTCACCTCTTTCCCCTCGCTCTCCTTCAAAACCTCTCTAACCCAATCATCACTTTGTTTCTCAATTATGAGACTTAACCACAGCACTTCAGTTCTGTCACCCTCCAGAGCTTAGCCCCTTCCCCAATGTTAGTGGGCTGCCCATGCCCGCTAACTCCCTGATCACACGCTCTTACTCTTGACCTCGGTGTTTTTGCTGTTATCCCTAATCTGAGCTGCTTTCCCCCAAAATTGCCCCATCCTGCAACTCCACACTGCATCACTCTTGCTGTGCCCTCCTCTCCCTCCATTCTCCATGCCTCCTAGACCCATTTGACCCCGTCCCACTACCTCCCTTCGCTTCAGCCTGGGAATCCTTGGTCGGGCTCACCATGGCACTTGGTGTTGGCTGTCCAATAGCAGCCACATTGACTGCCCCATTCCCCACTATCACCGCAAGCCCTGCCGAACCCAAATCCCGGGGCCAACCTCTCCTCCCTCATCCCTAATGCCATCCTTGTCAATCTTTCCATCATGTCCCTTATCTCGCACATTTATCTACCAACTACCCTTCCGCATTTACCTACGAAATGTCTGTTTCCTCTCCAACAAAGCCCTCACTATCAACAACCTCACTGTTGATGGAAACATTGATATCCTTGCCTTCCCAGAAACCAGCTCACCTCAGGCGATACCTTCATCCTGACTGAGGCCACAGCACCTGGCTATACCTTCCATCATACGCCACTTCCTAACTGTCCTCACTTGGCCTAACCCATTACTCCTCCAGTGGTGAGGCCCTCATCTCCAAGTCCTCACTAGGCCTATCCCATTACTCTACCAGTTAATTTCCCTTTGAGCAACTTACACTCTACTGTCCCTCCAACCTTTCCCTCAAAATTCTCCTTGTTTATCAACCCTCCACAAACACTCCTCCATCTTAATAATAATAATAATAAGAAGAAGAAGATCTCCACCATTCTAGCTTCTCTCTGCCTCTGTTCTGAACACCTCCTCATCCTGGGTGACTTCAACCTTCACTTTATTCCCTTTGCTCTGATGCACCCCTCCCTGCACACCTTGGTACCTGTCTCCCCCACCTTTCTCACTGCCACTATTACCCGCATGAAGCCCACCATCTGCTCCCTCAACCCCATTCCTACCCCTTCCCTTAGCTCTCAGCTCCAACTCCTTGCTCCTCTACTCTCAGACCTCATCAACTCTCAGACCTCACTCCCTGTCAACTGGCATCATTCTCACACTCCTACAAACAGCCGTCATCCCCACTATCCTAAAATAACCTTCTGTATCCTACTTGATCTGCCTCTTCTCTCCTATCATGCAACCTCAATCATCATTTCTAACGCCAAGTATGAAGAGGTTATGGACTTCCTTACCTCTAAAATTGATAAACATCCACCAGGCAGCTTCATCCCTTACCCCATGGCATCTAACAACACCCCCATTCCATCTCCCTCAACCCACCCACCCTCAGCTCCTATCATGGCCCCCATCCTACATTCATTTGCCCCCATCTTTCCTTCCTCCCTCTCATCTATCATCACCACAATGAAACCCATCACCTGCTGCCTCGACCCCCCTCCCCATCCAACTGCTAATCACTCAGCTCCCTCTTCTCTTGCCCACAACTGGCAGACATTATTAACCATTCTCTCTCCTCAGGATCAGTCCTACATGCATTCATTGCAACCTCAACATGCCTTGCTTCTTGTCCTCCTCAATTCTTTGCTCCACAAGCTGCAGATCATCCAAAACTCTGCACCTCTTCCGCACCATATCACCCCTACCCTCACCTGGTTCCACTGGCTTCCTATCCCTCAGAGGATCGTGTTCAAAATTTTTGTCCTCACCTTCAAGACCCAACATGCCTTGCCACTCGTACCTCTCCGACCTGTTAATTCCTTATCAACCTGTCCGATCACTCTGCTCAGCAGGCTCTGGCTGTTCCATGTCCCCCGCCCGATACCACCACCGTTGACCTTCAACCACTCTGCCCCATCCCACATTTTCTTTGCCTCACTCCTTCCCCTGCCTCCTTCAAGGCATGCCTGAAGAGCCTACTCTTCGATTGTGCCTTTGGCCACCCTCCTACCCTCTCTGCTCCCCACTCTCCTTGATCCCAACCTTCTCCCCGCCTCCCCGGTCGGGTTCTAATCCCTGACTGTTCAGTGCCTTGGGATACCCTCCTGATGTGAAAGATGCTTTACAAATGTCTTTTTGTATTGTACCTTCTCACTGCTCTCTCCATATCAACTCTGGTAGACACGTCCACAGCCACCCTCTTAACCTGATGATTACCCGGGGCCTCAATGTCTTGGACTTCACCATCGCTGACAAAGCCATCTCGGACTTTATCTCTCTTTACCTCTCCATCTCTCTCTCCGTCACCACCCAACCCACCTCCATCTCCTACTACCTCTTGAAATAATCTCCCCGCTCCCTCTCCACTACCTTGGAGTCACTGGAACTCCTCCCCTCTGGGCTTCCTCTCACAATGACTTATCCTACTCGGTCACTCTCCTCCACAACTCCCTCTCCACCATTCTCGAACCCTCGCCCTTCACCTCCCCCTACTCATGCAGTTCACCCTAGTCAACCAGCCACCTCCACTCCCTCAAGACACAGGTGCGTAGAACCAAACACATTTAACTCAACTTAAATCTAAAGGTCCTTTGGCAGATCTGGCTGGACCGCATCAAAACTTAGCCCTCTGCTCTCACCCTCGCTAAATCGTCCTTCTACTCCAATATAATCTTGGAGGCCAAGGACAACCCAGGCTCCTCTTCTCCATCAACAACCATTAACGCTGCCCACCCTCATGCATGCCCATCCTCCAACTCCAACTGCGATGCGATGCTAGACTTCCTCGAGGGGATTCACTCGGCTGTCTTTCCACCCACTAACCCCTCCCCCTCACACCCTCCCCATCCCACCGTCACACTCAGGCCTCTCTCTACCCATCTCTCCCTCCACATTTTTGAACCTGACTCACTCTTCTCTCTCACCAACATCATAGGCCATATGAAACCGGCCATCCCTCTCCTTATCTCCCAGCTCCACCTCCTTGTCCCTCTATTAACCGACCTCATCAACCTCTCTCTGTCCACTGGCATCATTCCCACCCCTTTAGAAACAGCCGTCATCATGCCATTCAACAACAACAACAAGATTCCATTTATAGAACGCCTTTCATGTCGGGAGGACATCCCAAGGCGCTGTACAGTTGGGTCAGGACTCGAGCATTGGGGGGAAATGGTCAGGTGAGGGGAGGGAAGGGAGCGTGGAGGGGGGAAATGGTCAGGGTGAGGAGAGGGAAGGGAGGGAGCGAGGAGGGGGGCAATGGTCAGGGTGACGGGAGGGAAGGGTGGGAGCGAGGAGGGGAGCTGAAGGCACGGTTGAAAAGAAAGGTCTTGAGACTGACCTTGATGCAGGAAATGGAGGAAGCGGCGAAGGCACTGGGGAATAGAGTTCCAGAGCCTCGGGGCTGAGAGGCTGAAGGCCACCGATGGTAGGGCGTTTGGGGTGGGGAATGTGGAGCAGACCGGAGCCAGAGGAACGAAGGGTACAGGCAGGTAGGTAGGGGGATAGTAGGTCAGAGAGGTAGGAGGGAGCGAGGCCATGAATGGCCTTGTAGGTGAGGATGAGGATCTTGAATTCGATCCTCTGGGGGATGGGGAGCCAGTGGAGGCGAGCGAGGGCGAGGATGAGGGTGAAGGCGAGGGTGGGAGTGAGGGTGGGAGTGAGGGTGAGGGCGAGGGCGAGGGTGGGAGTGATGTGGTCTCGAAGCCTGGTGTGGGACAGTACACGAGCTGCAGAGTTCTGAATGACCTGCAGTGTGGAGGGAGGGCCGGGAAGGCCGACGAGGAGAGAGTTCCCATAGTCCAGCCTTGAGGTGACAAGGGCATGGACCAGAGTTTCAGCCGCGTGAGGGGTGAGGTAGTGCCGTAGTCTGGCGATGTTTCGGAGGTGATGGAAAGCGGTGCCGGTTGTGGCACGGATATGAGGAAGAAAGGACAGCTCAGGGTCGAACAGAACCCCGAGGTTCCTGACTGGCTTTGAGAGGTGGAGAGTGCAGCCTTGGATGCTGATGCTGTCAGCACAGATGGTCAGGATGTCATTGGTGACCTTGACCAGGGCAGTTTCTGTGCTGTGGGCAGCACAGAAACCCGACTGAAGGTGTTCGAATAATGAATGGGTGGAGAGGAAAGAGCGCAGCTGGGAGGGGACAACTCTTTCGAGGACCTTGGACAGGAAGGGGAGGTTGGAGATGGGCCGGTAGTTTGATAGCTGCGACGCATCAAGGGAGGGTTTTTTCAAGGTGGGAGTGATGGTGGCAGTTTTTAGGGGAATGGGAACAGAGCCAGAGGAGAGGGACAGGTTGACGATGTCTGTGATATGTGGGGCAAGAAAGTGGAGCTGGGAGATAAGGAGTGGAGTGGGGATGCGGTCAAGGGAGCAGGTGGTGGGTTTCAGAGAGAGGATGAGTTTGGTGACAGAGGGTGGGGAAACGGGTACGAAAGTGTGTAGGGGAGGATGGGTAGGAGTCGGAGTGTGGTAGGGAGGTGTTGGGGAGTGGGTGGAGGTTGGAGGGGAAGTGACCGCGGAGCGGATTCCCTTGATTTTGGATGCAAGGAAATCCAGCATCTCCTCGCAGTGAAGGTTGGAGGAGATGACCTGCGGGGGGTGGCGGGGGGGACGGAGGAGTTGGGGTGTGGTAGAGAACAGTAGCCTAGGGTTGTTCTTCGCCTCCAGGATTATACAGAGTGTCAAGTGTGGAGGAGACCTTCATGGTCTGTCTTTGAATGGTTCAGATCATGCCTTTCACACAATCTTGTGCGGTGTTCCTCAAAGCTCTATCTTTGGTGCTATTCAGCGCCTTGGGACAACCTTCCAACGTGCAAGGTAGGCCCTGTGTATGTGTAATGTGTTGTTGTTACCATGTTACTGGAGGGAGTGTACCTCTTCCACTCTGACCTTTGGCCTCCTCCCACTTCTCGCTGCAGCCACAGTCTCTCATCGAGCAGTTGGGTGCCTACAAACTGGCAGTGGATGAGCGAGAGTTCAAGGAGGAGCAGCTGAGCACCCTGAGAGTGGATGTGTGCAGCACCGAGACCCTCAAACGCCTGAAAGGTACAGTCCGAAGGCCTAAGAGTGTATGTGTGTGTATCTGTCTGTCGCCCTCTCTCCTCTCTCTCTCTCTCTCTCCATGTCTCTCTCTTTCCCCCTGTGGTGGGGTGAGGTGTCTGTAGTTTAGCTGACCGACTTGTACCTGCAGATCGGGCGGGTGGCAAGCGATTCTCCAAAGACTTTGAGGAGTCCAGTTTGAAGCTGGAAGATTTCTGCGCTGAGCTGGACAGAGAGGTGAAGAGGACGCCACCGCTGATCGAAGCCCTGGAGAACGCAGAGATCTTCTACGAAGCCCAGTACAAAGAGGTGAAGATTGTTGTCAATGTAAGTGTCCTTATCACTATACTAATAATTCAGGGAATCATCAATTCTCTCCTTACTGGAGCTGAACTCCTAAGCTATATAAGTATAAGTTGTTGTTGTTGAGCTTCCAATTAATCAGCACAGCGCTGGGTAGGAGAGCACCACATTGTCAAAGGGGCTGTTCTTTCAGATGAGAACATTAAACCTCCAGAGATGAAAGTTGCCAAATGTAAATTGTATCAATATCTTTATTTCAGCGCTTTGGGACGTCCCCCCAACGTGAAAGCGCTCTATAAATGGAATCTTGTTGTTGTTGTTGTATTTACTTACAAGACACAGTCGCTCGGCTGCACAGAAAAGCCCACAAAGCATTTTGAGAGGTCCTCTACTGTGCGATGTAAGGAAGACTATTACTGTGATGTAAGGAGGCTGATAAACAGGTAATGTACTGGCGTCTCCCCCCACCTCCCCCCTGCAGGCATACAAGACCTTCGCTAACCGGGTCAATAACCTAAAGAAGAAGCTGGACCAGATGAAGTCCACCCTCCCTGAGCACGACGAGTCCCCAATCTTGTCCCCGTGCATGGATGCCCCCTCGCCCAATGGCTCCGAATCCCCTATGCGCCAGACCGAAGTGATTGAGGTGGAGATGCCAGCCGGGGGTAATAACAGCCCAGAATCCCCTACCCCACAGGTCTCCGGGGACAACTGTGCCGTGGAGGACATGGAGCTTTCTGATGACGAGGGGGATGCTGACACCACCCACATCATAGGTACTGCGTTTTACTTTATGCGTGTATGTAAAAAGGAGAACTCGCACTCTCATCTCTAAGTCAGTGGATTTGAGACCACTCAAAACTTGTTTTGTACAGTCCAGGCTAACGCTTCAGCACAGTGTTGGGGAAGCGCCACATTGTTGGAGAGGCTGTCCCTTTCAGATGAGATGTTAAACTTCATTCCTCAACCATATTCTCTTATGGCAGATGTTAAAGAGCCCAGTCCAACACCAACAGTGAGCATCAGCTTGAAGCTTGTCAAAGCCAAAGCAGCCATCTCGACCTCAGTGGAGACTCCCCGAAGTAAGAGTGCTGCTTCCGGTGGAGGAGGCAGCGTGGTCACATCTCCTCAGGCCCTCCCGAACCTGGTCAACATTGATCTGGGCAAAATCAGCTCCATCCTCAGCAGCCTGACCTCCGCCATGAAGAACACAGGTCAGTGAGGCTCTGCGGAGAGGCAGAAACATGGAAACACTCCCTTTCTCATCCAATAAATGCTCCTGTCCTGCTCAAAAGGGTTAATGATGCTTAGGGAGGTTAATGTGTTTCTGGAATGATACATAGATGTACTTCCCAAGCGTGTAAGCTGCACTGCATGAATCAGAAGATTTGGGGGTTCAAGCTTCCCCTCCCCATACACATTGAATATCATAAGCTCATGCTGATGATCCAGCACTGGGGATAGAAAGCGCTGCAGTGTCTGAGATGCTGTTCGTTTCTGATGAGACGTTAAACCTCACTCTCTCTCTGTCTGTGCCCTGTTCAGGATGGACGTTAAAGATCTCCCGTGGCGCTGTCAGTGGGGAAAGAGAAGGGAGTTTCTCTCTACTGACAGTTAAAATTGCTTGTTCGCTTCATGGCTGTTTGTGGAAACATGTTGCGCATAAATTGGCTGCTGCATTTGGCCTTGAAACACACATACACCACACATTAACAGTAAAGCCCTGCAAAGTGCTTTGAGATGCCCTCCTGATGTGGTAAGGTGCCTGTTCAAATGCAATGATATGAAATGTCATCTCCCTCTCCTACTCCGTCCCCTCATGCAACCTTGGAAAAAGCTTCCCCCCTCCAGTCCCTCACAAACGCAGTCTTTATCCTCAAATCTCTTTTAAGCCTTCCATCAGCAGGCATCCTGATGCAGCCATCAAGCTGCTAAACAAATGTCTCTCCTGAACCTTCCTTCACTTCTGTTACCTCTCTGAAATGTGCAGCTATGTCTAAGCCTACCCGCTCCCCCTGGTATCATAGTCATCTCCTCTCCCTCAAATACCAAACCCGGTTGCTTGAGTGCAGATGGGTCCCTTTCACACATTAAACTCCGTATCCCAATCACCCCAGTTTTCCCCAGGCTCCACTAGCTTCCTGTCACACACGTTAAACTCTGTACCCCATCACCCCAGTCCTTTGCAGGATCTAGTGGCTCCCGATCACACACATTAAACTCGGTACTCCCATTATGCCTGTCCTCGCTAGGCTCCACTGGCTCCCTATCATACACTAAACTACATACCGCATCACACCTGTCCTTGTCTGCATTTATTGGTTCCCTATCACACAAACTGAACTCCATACCCCATCACTCCAGCCTCGGGCTCCACTGACTCCCTATCACACACACTAAACTCCATCCCCCATCACCCCCAGCCCTCATCAGGGCTCCACTGGCTCCCTATCACACACTAAACTCTGTATCCACATCACCCCAGCCCTCGCAATGCTTCACTGGCTCACTATCACACATTAAACTTCATACCCCTATCACCTCAGCCTTCGCCAAGCTTCACTGGCTCACTACCACACACTAACTTCCATACCCACATCACCCTAACCCTCACCAGGCTCCACTGGCTCCCTATCATACACTAAACTATGTATCCCATCACACCTGTCCTTGCCTGCATTTATTGGTTCCCTATCACACACAATAAACTCCATACCCCAACACCCCAGCTCTCGCCAGCCTCCACTGGCTCCCAATCACACACTAAACTCTGCACCACCATGATCCCAACAAATTTCCAAATTTCCACAGAAAACCATCCCGACAAAATGCAACAAATTTCCACTCTCACCAAATTCCTGTTGTAGAGCTTCGCTCTGTTCCCAGCTCACTGTTTATATCTCCCTCTGTTGGGCACGCAGTAAAACCCAGGGGCCCTCTGCTCAGCCTGCACTGTAAAACTCATTGTGTCATCTGTGGGTTTGCATAAAATCTATTGGAAGTTTAGGCTAGAAACAGGAAGCTTTGGTCCTCAGTCAATGTCCTCAGTCACCACCTTACCGCATGCTGTTCCCCTGCCGCAATTCCACTGAATCAAAGCTTCTGCTCTCCTTTTTGCCTCTTACCAGGGCTTTCAACATTACTTCAAAGTGTGACTGGGAACGTCACCACCAACGTAGTACCTATCCCTGCTGGCCCTGCGATGGCCTCAGCCACCAGCCCACTGGACAGGAACCTCCCCCTGATCAACGCTAATGCCCAGGCCCTGATTCAAGGCCTGATCGGCTGCTCCCCCAACTCCCCTGCCTCGGAAATCTCCTCCGCCTCATCGGCTACCTCAGCCCCGGGCTTAGGCCTCAGTCCTGCCCTGTCGGGCACGAGCCTCAAGCCCCAGGTGAACACCATGGCTCACCAACTCCCTCAGAGCAGAGCCAGCTCCATGCCAGAGAGACTGGCCGGAAAGGCTGCCGAAGCCACAGAAAACCATCCCGAGCCCAAGCCAGCCTCTCCCTCCAGCCTGGAAGTGAAGATCCACAATTTCCTGAAGGTCAACCCGGGCTTCAAAGCCCTGGACCTGAACATTCCTCTCCTCAGCCACCTGGGTACCACCGACCCCAGTGCCAAGACCCAGCCTCCTAGTTCGGAAGGCACCGGGAACGCCATGTTGGAGAACCAGGAAGGCACGCCCGTGAGGGATGAGAGGGGAGGCACTCCCACCCAGGATGAGATGATGGACAAAACGTCGCCCATAGCTGCCGTGGTGGGGGATCCCATGTCACTGCTCTCCAAACTGATCAGCCCCCCTTCCTCCTCGTCCACCAGCAGCCCTCCCTCACCTCCGCCATCGCTGGCTCTCCAAGGAGCCAGAGAGCCTGGCGTTCCCTCTTACCAGACTAACGCCACGTCCCCTTACAGCCTGGCCCGTGACCCCTTCCTGTCCACCTACGAACCCCCCTCAGAGATGTGGACAGCCTCTCTCCCCATAGAGACTCCCCCGGACACCCCTTCTACCCGGGGGAGTCATGCCAGGATGAGAAAGAATTCTCGGACTTCGACTATGCAGATCCCCCGCGCCTGGCAGTCTCCAACCTGGTCAAACAGTCGGCGAAATCCATCCTCAAATGCAAGGGTCCCGAGCCGCTGGGCGGCAGCGAGTACAAGCCGGGGTCCGGCAGTTACAGCCGGCTGAAGTCCGGCTTTCCCGGCAAACCAGTCAAGTCCATCCTGAAGAATAGCGAGGGCTTCGGCAGCCGGGGATACACCGGGGAGGAGCAGGGAATGGAACAGGAAGAGCTGCCATCGCCCGGACAATTCTTCTGCTCGGAGTCCAACAACATCCTGGTGCAGACCTCGTTTCCCGAGCTGGCCCAGGCCCAGGCCCAGGTCGGGGATGACTCTCAAACCCACCTGTCTGGTTCTTTCCCCCATCCACCCGGCGACAAGCTCGTCCTGGCTCTGAGCTCTCCCATCTCGGCCACCTCCACCATCGAGTTCAAGAATATGCTGAAGATCGCCTCGCGCAGATCCACCGACGAGAAGCCGCTGGAAAAGCTCCTCAGCCCCATCTCGGAGGCCGAGAGGGTGAGCGAGAACGGGGGGCGTCCTGGCTCAGGCCAGCCCGGCTTCAAAGCACATGAAGAAAGCGGCATCTCCGAACTGACTCGTGATGGCCTGGAAGAGAAGGGAGCCCCCATTGAGACCCTGGGCAGCAGAAAGCCGGCAGCCGGCCGGCTTATATTCGGAGAGCCCATCCAGACCCTGGACTCGAGCCGGGGAGCCGGGAGAGGGAACCGGAGCCAGGGCCACAGCAAAGGTGGCTCGCGTAGCAGTTGGTATGAACAGCAGAAGAGCCTCTCCAACTACAACAATGAAACCCCGGCAGTGGACATTCCCAAGCTCCCGCAAGGAATGCCCTCCGGCTTCCACAGTCAGTATGACGAGCACCTGCACCAATTTCAAGACCAACCCAGCAGCAGCAGAAGCAGCTTCCAATCCAACAGCTATAGACCCTACTTTGACAGGTCGACATCTAAAATCGGACCCCGACCTAGCTCGCTCTGCGACCATCTGGGACTCCCACTGGGTCCCCCTCTGAGGGAACGCTTGCCCGGAGCCCCACCACCAGACCGCTTGCTCACCTCCTACTCTCCACAGGATCACATCGGTCCACCCGCCGTGGCTCTCAGAGATTGCATTGCGTTGCACCCTGGCCCTCCTCCCACGCAGGATCATATGGTGGGGGTCTCTTCAGGCCCCCTGAGAAAGCACAGCTCATTCCGTGACTGCACCGGCCCACCACCCGGTGACAATGATCACTTTGGTGGTCTCCCCTCCGGCCCACCCCCTCCCCAACGTGACTATCTGGGTCTGCCTCCTTCTGGCCCCCTACCCCTCACCCCTCCTCCTGGCCCCCCACCCTTGGACCATCTGGTCCCTCGTCCTGGCCCCCCACCCCATGATCACCTGGGCCCACCCCCCCTCGGCCCACCGCCCATCCCCCCTCCAGGTCCCCCCCTGGCCCCCTCCCGGCCCCCCACCAGGCCCGCCCCCAGGGACCTGCTCAGCCTCCCAGGACCCCCCAGAGACCTGCTCAGCTTGCTCCCGTGCCCCCCCAGAGACTTCTTTGGCCAACCCAACAGGCTTCCGAGAAGCCACCTTGGCGGCCAAACCCACAGGCCCTCGAGGGACTACTCCGGGCCCCAAAAGGATCCGGGCGGTCCGTCCTTTGGAAGCCCGAGAGATTACAGCAACCCTGGCCGATACTTCCAGAGAGACTTCAGGGCCAGCTACCGAGGGCCCAGGGAGAACCTCTACGACCGCGACTCATTCCAGGCCGGCAAGCGGCCCGGCCTGCCCTTCGTAAACCCCCCTTACACCAGTGCCCCCAAACGGCCCTACATGCCGCCGCGATACTGAGCGAGCGAGCGAGCCAGACAGCGAGCGCATGCGGGCGCGAGAGAGAGGAGAGAGAAAGAGAGCGAGCGAGAGAGTTTATAAAGAAGTAGCAGATTCTGAAATGTGAATGTTCCAGTTACATAGGGAGGAGGGAGAGGGTGGGGGCGTCTTGGCTGGGGGTGGTGGAAATGATATGATGTGTGCCATTCTGCTTTATCTTGATGGGGGAGGAAGCACAGCTTTTAGTTCAAAGCCTTTTGCACTCCGGTCTGTTTTCCTCTCACTCTCCCGTTTCTTGTCTTTTTGTTCTGCTCCCTCAAAAAGAAAAACCCATTATGAGCCCCTGTGCTTGTTAAAGGTTCCTTTACACTGTCATTCAAAACTAATGTGTGTTTACAGGTTCTGTCTTCTCCCTCGCAACTAGAGTGTTCAGCAAATTCCCAGAGTTACGCAAATAGTTGTGTTTGTTTGATTTACAAAGAAATTTATAAAGTGAAATTCTGTCAATGGAATACTTAATTTGATATCAAAAAGTTATTCAATAAACTGAATTATTCATATAATCAGAATAGGAAACTCATGTCCCAGAGCTGAAAATCTTATTCAATAAACTGAACTATTCAATTATCCCATATTCAATTAACTTTCACTGTTATCTTTTCAGAAACGTCTACCTCAGACTTTGCTCCGTTGGAGAGAAAAGGATGAGGAGATATAAGGTGGTTAAGGAGAATTTCTCTAACTTTTTTATTGCACAACTTTACCTTGGGGGTTCTATTGGTTTGTGGAGAAGGAAAACAATGAGTTACAAAATCCCGGTCCTTTGGTGCAATGTGCATTGGAGACCATTGTTATCACATGTCAGAGGTGGAGAGCTCCTGTGTGACTTGAGACTGAATCTTGTGAATTAGAATTTGGGGCAAGCCTTATTGGCATTATTTTAATGAAAAGTGCACTTTTTTAAAAACGATAGATCAAGAGAGAGGCGTGATATCTAGAGTGGCTTTGAAAATCAGCCACCAACTTCAACGAGTTTCCTTTGGGAATTTATCAAATGATGAAATAATGTTTTTGTGGGAGTGGGTAGGTGAATAGTACTGATGTGTATTGGAGTAAGAGAGGTTATTGTTCTCTCAATAAGAGGCCATTCTCTCCCATTGCCGGCTCCTTAGGCAGAAACTGGATTAGTTTGAGGAAGAGTTGAATCATTTTTAAAGAAAATTATAGCTATATGCAACACGGACACATGAACACATATGTGAAAAGAGAAAAAAAATCTTGTTTGCTTCAATTTTTTATCTCCTGAATTAAAAAGTGAAGATTGAGTGCTCCTTATCTTCTTCCTTTAACCTTCCCAGTGTTTGTAAATGATATTAATTCCTTCCAAACTATATTAGAATGCATTCGATAAATTGCAAAGACTTGAACTATTTGTGTGTCTATGTTGATCTCTTTGTTCAAAACGTTTCCACCACCCCCTCACTCCCTCACTTGAATGTAATCTCTTTTGGAGGAAAAAGGTTCTAAAACATATTTGTCCGATCTTGATCAATCCAAACTGAGAAGGGATGCCCACTTTTTCATGTTCGTTTAATACACTATTTGTCATCTTTTGAGTTCAAAAGGAGTGTTTATAGGGGTGGTGGGGTGGTGTGGAGGTAGAAAATGAAATGCCTATTTTTCCCAAATGATGTGTGAGTACTTTAATAAGATGTATTTAATTCTTTTTAGGAAAGAAAAGGAAGATTCACAATATATTTTGGAGGGAGTGTTTTCAGGAAATGTATGACTTTGATTCATGTTTGAATTCAATGTTTGCCGTGCTTTGTCTCATTTGAACTCCCATCCTCTCTACCAATGCACAAATACATAATTTTGAGGTCTTAAGTTAGTCCTGTACCTCCTATGTTTTATATCTATATATAAAAAAATTAATGTTCCTGAACAGAGGAGATGTGAAATTTAACTGAAGTTGACTTGCATTTGAAACACATTTGTTGTATCTGCATATCTATTTGCTTTGCGGAGCCATTGTGAGATGCACCATATAACAGTCAAAGCCCTTGCTGTCTTTGAGATGATGGGAGGTTGAAGTACTCTGGTGCCCTTGCAACCAATTGTAGGGGGGTGCAAGACACTTTACAGGGATTGTGAAAGATCTCTGTACCCAGATTTTAATCGGTCAAACACGAAGATAGATGATGAAGGGGACCGTGAGCTTGGGCGTCTGAGTAATACCATATGCAATCCATTTTCCACAGCTGTGCTTTGCTCATTTGCTGTCCGTCACTCAGCCGGGGAGAGGGGGTCGGGGCGTGTGTTGAGGAATGTACTACTAATTGCTTGAAGTCTGGACCATTTCTAGAGAGTTTTTGAATTGCTTCCAATGGGTTTTAAGTTGCAGATCAGAATAAGGGGAAAGAGAGCACTGAACTGCAGAAGTGTCGGTAGTCGAGACATTAAACAGAGGTTCCAAGCAGGTCGACATCCCAAGGGCACTATTTGGAAGGGTTAGGGAGGCAAAAGAAGTGATGTTTCTCCCATGGTCCTGTTCTGCATCTCTCTTGGCCATTTGTGGGATATTGCTGCGTGGTCCTCTACCAAACAGTCACTGCACTTTATGGAAATGTTGTAAAGCACTTTGACACTTTCTCAGAGTTATTGGTATTTTATCAGATGCAAAGATGTTTTTGGTGGGGGAGTCAGAATGCTGTGGGTTAAAGCCTCATGCCAGGTTTCGGAACCCACGTAGTCTAACGTGATGCGCCAAAGCATTTTTGGGGTAATTGCTGCATTGCAGAATGAGACTTTAGTCTATGCCTGTTCAGGTTGGTGTAGGGAGAAATTTAGCCATTACAGTGCAGGATAAACCAAGCTTCCAGTAGGAGCTACCTTCCCTGTATTATTACCTTCCCTTTTTCCCTATATTATTTTATAGTTCTCATCAAATCCTGATCTATTTCCCTTTTGAGCAACTCAATAGTTACTTGCTACTAAGCTCTCCACATTCTGAAAACTTGGTGTGATTCAGGACATAGTGTTTTCTAAGCATAGTGTGTGTTTTTTTAAAAAAAACTTCTAAACAAATTGAAAATCTATATCTTGAGGAAAGTTAATGCCAAACAGAAGTAACATTTTTTAATTTAAGAAACTTTCAAACCAATGAAACTTATCTCTTCAGTCCACCTGATGTTGTTTCAGTTACCAGGTATGGTGGGGCAAATAAAAGCTCATTCTTGCTTTTGGGTGGAAACAGAATTGAGGCCAGCTAAGATCCAGTGGCCTTACCCATTAAAACAACATAATTTTAAAAGTGTCAAAATTGTGCCGAGTAAATCCTTAAATTCAGTTTCAATTTGGAAGCCTTTTTTAAAAAAAAGTCTACCAAATTAGCTACTATATTGAGATCGGTTTGAAGATTTCTAATTCTTCCACACTCTTAAACAAATCTAAAAGCAGCAGCTCAGTTGGTTGGAAATCATGTCTTGGACTTGAGGTTACACCCTACACGTTGACCTTTCCAAACTACATTGTTGGCAGTGCTGTCCTTCAGGTGAGACCAAATCCTTGGCCACCTGTTTCTTAGGGTCATTGTGATAAACTCCCCATCAATGTTGTGGCCTACAATCCTCCAGATTAATTGCTTCCTCACCTCATGGTTGTGCATAAGTCCTTAGTTTGCACAAAACTTTTACTTGCCAAAGTTTTATTGTCAGTTAAATGCAGTTTAATTTCAAGCCAAGTTTACACTGTGAGGATCCTCAACCATATGTCTGGGATGTTTGCCAGGCATTTAATCGATCTGTATGGAGTCCTGCAGCTGAATGGTTAGAGCACTTGCCTCACAAGCGAGAGCTGGTTTTGATTCCCAGCTGGGCAAAATGATGGCCAAGTTTCCTTACTCCACACACACGCCTGTTTACCTTGCAATAAGTAGCAACAAAAACAGAAGTCGCTGGGAACTCTCAGCAGGTCAGGCAGCATCTATGGAGAAAGGAAAGTGAGTCAATGTTTTGAGTCCACGACCCTTCATCAAAACTGAGGAATGTTGGGAGAGACTTTTAAGGGCTAGCAGGGGGAGAGAAGAAGTCAAAACACAGAATGGGATAGAGGGCCGGGGATGATGGGTTAAAGAGTTGTTATATTGTAAAACAAAGTGATGAGGGTGGGGGGCATGGGGGATGGAATTCCAACAAAATAAGGCGACCAGAGAGAGAAAAGTTGTGTCTGGGACCCAGTTGATGTGGTAATGGTCACAGAAGAGGGGGAGGGGGGTAGATGAGCTGTATTGGTCTGAAATTATTTAAATCAATATTGAGGCCAGATAAATGAGGTGCTATTCCTCGAGCTGCGCAGTGGCTCATTGGAACAGCATAGGAGAGTAAGTAGGAACTTGGTTGTTAGTCGATTGGCAGATCTCTTTACTGGGAGTAATATAAAAAAAATATTGAATTGATCACTTCAAAACACAACTGTTTTGGTTCACTGCTGGGTGCAATTGGCTGCCACGTTTCGTCCCATAAAAAATTCTGTTACCGCACTTTACAGTGTATCCTGTGAAGCGATTTGGAGTCCTGTAGCTCAGTGGTTAGAGCACTCGCTTTGCAAGCGAGACACTTGGGTTCAATTCCAGGCAGAGGGCGAAACCTTGGGCAAGTTTCCTTACTCCACACACCTAATAATAATCCCTCCAAAACAAAACAGTAATAAATTGGTCATTTTCAATCCGCGACTGTTTGCTGGGACACTGCTGTGCGCAATTGGCTGCTGCGTTTCACCCACAATTATACGGTCAATTCACTTTACAGTATATTCTGTGAAGCGCTTTGGGATGTCGAGAAGATGGGAAAATGCAAGAATTATTATTATTATTTGACTTGTCTCAAAGATGTGATAAGGCACTGCATCAAATGCAAGGATTATTATTATCTCAATCTTCTGGTCAACTGCCCAAAGGAGGATTGAGTTTAAAACAATAATAACTTCCACTTATATAGCTCCCCTCATGCATGGTAGTATCC